GCTCCGGGCAGCCCAGCGCCGGGCTGCGCTCCCTCCTTTTCTACTTCTGTGTGTTTGTTTGTTTGCTTATTTAGCGCTCTGTCTCAGCGCTGTCTGTGGTAGGTGCAACTTGCGCCGCCGCCAGCGCCCGCGCTCTTTATCCCCTTGCCGCGCTGCGGGGTGGTTCTGCCSTGCCGGGGGTCCGGAGGGTGCAAGCTGGAATAATGCTCTTTTTGGYGTGACCTGAGTGCTCCCGTGAGTGGCCAGGCAGCCTGCCGTGCCTGCAGCAATGCCCTTCGCGCCACGGGCGCTGGTGACAGCGCGGGCACCGTGCTTGCCAGCTGAGGGGGACAGGCACAAGATGCGGGGAGCGTTCARGGTTTGCTTGGTGAGGAGGCCACGGTGGGATCTGCTCCTGGTGCTGGGTCCTCACACACTCCCTGCGCACGGGGAGCGTCTCCGCTTTGGGGGAGCCCCAGCACGCAGGCTGGACACGGAGCGGAGCGCACCAGGCTGGGACGCACCCCGCGCCTTGTCCCCATGGGGCCAGCTCTGCTCCTCCTCCTTTGGCAGGGTGGTTTGGGTATTTCTAGGCTGGAATAGCCCTGGGGGCTGCAGGGCTCTGAAGGAAGCAGTGTGGCTCTTGTGGTTCAGCAAACACTGTGGGTTGGGTTTTCTTTTTTCTTTCTTTCTTTTCCTTCATACCAAGTATTGGGTTGTTCTTTCCAGTAGCTCTCCCTGGAGTCGGTAATTTGGTCCCTTTTATATTTGGYTCTAAACTACCTCAGAGACAAGCGGGGCTGTCGGTGCAGTGCTGTCCCCATTGGTACTTCTGTACTTGCATCTACTGAAGCTGCTTGCAGCCGTATGCTCTGGCACAGGAACATCAAGTCGGAGTTAAGTGTCCTCTCAGGATTATGTTAATCCACTTTCGGGAGGTAAATCCAATAGTTGGAAAATCCCAGTCCATCTTCTGAGGAATTTCTCATTTCACACGTTTTTGATCTGTTTTCCTTGGCCATCTCTCTTGGCATCCGGCCCCCTGTGTCTCTACCCTGCCTCGAYCAGGCTGTTGGGAATCAGAGAAGCTGCCTCTGAGGGGACGCGGGACTATGGTTTGTTCTGTGCACTGTGGTCTGAATTCTTGAATGAAATCAAAAGTGGGGCCCCTGGAGTTTACGGAAGCATTTGGATGGAAGAACTGTGAGCTGTGGCCTGTCACGGGGGAACAGGCATGAATTCCCACTTGTGTAATGGTTTCCTGTTTAAATAAGGTGTATTTAAAGAGCAAAGATCTCCTGTCCTCCTCTACCTYTCTACTTGGCATTTGGGGAGGCAGGTGGCGAGCTCCAAGCTTGTCCTTTATCTCCCCAAACTTTTGGGGCTCCATGGGTACAACCCACTTGGGATGGGCAAAAAGTCCAAGGGCCAATTTCTGCGATATTGGCAATTCGGAACATTCGGAAATCATGAGCTGGACTACCCCATCACCTCCAAAGAGATGAAGATGTAAAATGAGTTAAATCATGTTTTATAGCCTGTCCTTTGACCTCTAACAGCCTCTCAGGTGTGTTAAGTGCTACCAGCTCTCTGTTTTGCCCTGAGAAAGCCCTTGTTAACCCCTTATTTAAGAGCACATGTTGGATAATTGTACTTTATCAGGAGCTTACAGTGCTGGGCCCTCTTTGGAGCTGGTAAGAGACCATTCCTACCAGGAGTACTTGTGGTCCTGGGCAAGGTCTGGTGGAGACTTGCCGTTTGGAAGCTGGAATGGGACTTGGCTCATACACACCTACCATGTATCCCTTCATTGGACCCTAGTGCTAATTCTCTGTTCCTGCACCTYGTCAATCCATTAGTGGTGCTCCATGTACTTGGTTCCCAATAGAAAGGGGAGAGGAGCRGTGACCGTCTCTGATGGGTTCCCACTAGCAGCCTCGGTGGAATGAGAGGATGGCATGTGCACACAGACCCTGTTGGACCTGTCTGCAGATCAGTGCAGGACTAGAGCTTTGGGAAGATTCCTGTTCTGTTTAGCAGTCAGTGTGGGAGTTGAGGCTTGGGGTTCTTTTTGCTTTTTTCTTGCTTAAGGAATCTTGACAACTATACTTTTTCTATCATTTTTGTCAGTACTTTTCTCTACTTTGGCGCGTGGGAAACTGAAACTGAACTGAGCATCTGCTGCCGTCTATGTTTGGAGACGGGACGTGGAGACTTTAGCCTGATCCGGTGTGTCCTTTCCTAGGAGTCCTCGCATTGCTCCACCAGACGAGGTGACTCAGCTGCTTTCCACCCTTGGTGAGGTGGTGGTTTGTGGCAATCCTATCGATCCCTGCGGAGATAACGGTGGTATTGGGAAAGGGACTGTGGCCTCGGGAGAAAATGAAGCAGGGAATGCATGTGAGCCTCCCCAGCTGTGTATGTGGTGTGCACGGCAGGGGCCATCACGGGATTGAGGATTTCAAGTCAATTGGATTGCGGGCATCTCTCTTATCCAGGTCTTCGGCTCTCCTTCAGAGCGACGTCTTTCCTTTCCCGCAAGATTAGATTTGGTGGGAGCAGCCAGTCTGGGGTCGAGAAGCGAGCTCTGGAGGTTGGAGGCAGGTTGTTCCGGGCTCTGCACCTCCTTAGCTGGCTGCGGAGGACTTGGCAGCTCCGCTCGGGCGCTGTTGATGCTGGCAGCCCTGGAGCATGGAGCGCTCTGCTCAGCCAGCAGCCAAGCTGCAGGGACATGTAGCCAAGGATGGCTTGCTCGGCGCTATAAATAACCTGCCCGAGCGCCACGAAAGCCTCCTCAAACTGTGGCAGGTTTTTGCCGTGCTTGTCAAGTCGCTTCAGAGGCTTCGTCGAGGAGCTCTCGGCTCGAAACCTGGCCGGTGTTTGGGAATGCTGGATGTGCTGTGGCTGCAGGTCATCCGAGGCTCCTCTGACATGGGGAGCAGTGAAGAGGGGCTGCATGCCCCGTGCTTGTGAGGCCGGGTTCTCTTTGCATGGAAAGATTTCGGCTCTGTGGCCGCAGGGCCGGCAGCTCCCGTGGTTCCTTCCCTGCCAGGGCCCTCCTCTTTCCCAGGCCTGGGAAGCRCGGCCCCGTGTTGCTCTTGGCACGCTCGGGCAGCGGGCCCTGCGCGCCACTTCCCTGCGCACATTCCCTCCCTTTCCTCCTGCCGGCACCTCCAGGCTCGGATTACACGCGGGGTCGGGGGGCGGTCAGGCYGGGATGCCGGGAGCCGCAGACATTCCTGGCGCTCGCTCCGACCCGTCGCCTTCGCCTCCCTCGCCCGCAGCRCCGGGATGCCTCCGGAAGGCTTGGAGGGTGTTGTGAGGGAGATGCTGGATCTCCATGGAGATGCCCGGTCCCCATGGAGCCAACMGTGGCCCCCAGGCTGAAGGGATCCGTAGGGATGTGTTTGGTGCAGAGACATGCCAGCCTTTTGGGAAAGAGGGTGCCCGTATCCCTAGCAGAAGGAGGGAGCTTGTGGTCTGAGTATCCCACCTTGGCCCGGAAAGCAGAGGATTTCCCATTAAAGCCAGCCGGCACGCTGGCTTTTCCGTTCCCAACCGCCTCCAAACCTGCACCCTCCGGGGCTGAGTAAACTTCCCCACTTCTTTCCCTGGGGCTGCGTGTCCCTGGGAAGCAGGGGGAGCGCTGCGAGTGTCCTCTACCCGTTTGGGATTTCTGGACGGAACATTTTTCTCTTCCTTTTTTTTTTTCTTTTTTTTTTTTTTCTTTAAATCCGAGGCAGCTTCGTCCATCTGTTGAATTTGGTGGCATGTACAAAAATACCCTCTTGCGGAGCGGAGGGAGAGGAGGGCGCTGGTGGAGCTGAGAACGCGCAARAAAACAGGGATGAATCTCTCCTTTTACATGCATGGAGGAGGCATCCTGGGTTCTGTATGGGGTTATGTGTTCCCAAAGTTTATTTAAAAAAAAATATATGAAATGGGTGCAATGRGGAAGGCTCCGTGTGGAAGCCAATAGCCTGTGCTCATCTGCTTAAGTGCCTGTAGCGACTGTGGTGCTTAAAGTGCTGGGAAATGGGTTTTCCCTGTGTCCCTGAAGGTTAGGGCCACGGCCGCAGGAATAAATCCCTGCGGAGCCTCGGCGTCCATTGTGCACAGCTGCAGAAGTTATGTAAGGCCGAGGGGGGAAATGGGGCTGGGAGCGCCGGGAAGTGGTAAATAGACCGAAATCCTTTTAACTGCCCGTTGTTTTTAGCGCTAAGCATTGTCTTTGCGTGGCCGGCCTATTTGCTGGTGAAAACCTGACCCTTCTTCTGGATCTATCTGCTTCAATCAGTGTTATTATTAAGCTTTTCTTTTTGCATTCCCTTTACTGGGGATATTTAGTCCAAAGKCTGGTAATTTCTGCAGAGAGGGCGAAGCGCTCGGCAGGGCTGCGAGCAGGCAGCAAAGGGCCTGCTCGTTCCGGGACGGGTTGTCCCAGCTATTTTAAGGATACTTCAATATCCTGTCCTGCTAATAAACGACTCCGTGGAGCTGAGGGATCATTGCATTTTTTACCTACTTGCTTTGGACACAGCATGGATGAACRAGCTCCTCTGGCCCAGTTGCTGGAATGATTTTCTGGTTAGAATAAGGGCTGCTGGGCACGTGTTGCGTGGAGCAAACAGCATCGTGGCTGTAGCTGCTGTTGTGCCAAGGGGCTGAGCCAGGCACTGCAAGGGAGTTTTTGCTCCGAATTTCACACCCTGTTATGTTCCTGCTAAATTTCCGCATGGTGATCCGTACACCTGCGGATAGGGTGACGTGCTCCGTGGAAACCTRTAGGAATGGATCCCAATAAATTCAGCAGGCTCTTTTCCTCGAGCTGAGCCGTGTCTCTTGGAGAACGCGCTCCCTGYGTCCCCGTGGGGATAGATCTGGAGCTGTGTGGTGGTGGATTAGGCCCTCGCACGTCCTCACACCTCTGATTGCTGTGGAGGATGTGTTAGAGCTAAAGTGGACTGTACTTGAGAAAAGCATAGCCTAAAGGCAATGTTCCTTGCAGGAAAGCATGGCGAGGTTTGATCTTGATRTCACTGTGTTTGCAAGCTAGAAATGAGACTCAAAATGATACTGGAGAAGAAAAAAAAAATGCAGATGAGATGGTGAGAAGATGAGCAGCGTTGGGGTTGGGTCTGTTATAGAAGATACTCCTGGATCAGATGGTAAAGTGGGTATAATTTGGTTCTGCATGTTAATTTGGCCAGCGGGAAGCAGAGCTGTCCTCTTTGGAGAATGACTCATGAGGAGGACTCGCGGAATTGACCCTGAGGTCCCTGTCTGGCACTTAGGTATAGGATCTATCTCAGAGCTCGGAGGTTTAAGCAGAGGACTGCTAGGTGGAAATTGGTTTTAGCGGCACCGTGGCCGTTTCCCATCACGGGGGTCAGTTCAGCACTGGGCGCAACGCAGGCTCAGCTAAGGCAAGTCTATACCAGGCTTAAGAGGCRGCTGAATCATCTCCTTGCGTTATTTGGGAAGGCAAAAGGCTCTCGGTTTCTGGAATAGCTCAGAGGAAGGGAGGGATAAGTTGCCGGGTCTGTCTGAGGCAGAAATGAAACAGAGCAGTTGCCCATTGCTCACATACATGGGGAGATGTGCAGGAGGATGAAGAGCTCTGCAACGCTGTAGCTGCCAGTTTTTCTCAAAGCGTTGCTGGAGCTYTGGGCTTGGCTGGATAATGAAGCTAAAGATCAGGATTGAGTTGGACCCCAGCAGCTCTCTGAAAGCAGTGACTCAGTTTAGGCGCAGGGTRCAATTAGAATCGAAAATTTAGGAGCATTTCTCAGAGGGACAGGGGAGGACGCTGTGAAAGTGGCACATGTGGAGGTGACAAAGCTACTGCTGCTTGGGACTCCTGATGTACAGCAGGCAACATGCTGCCCGCTCCCGAGAAGACCCAGCCTCGGATGTCATCTGAGCGATGGAGGAACGGCTGGGCTTCGGGGCCGGGTTGGTGCCATGGAAACTTGACTAATCCGCCCTTTCTTTCCCTCCAGTACATCGGAAGCCTGGATGTGCCGCGGCCCAACAGCAGGGTGGAGATTGTGACGGCAATGCGGCGGATCCGGGTGAGTGCCACGAGGACACGTTCCCGCAGGGGCCGGCCGGGTGACGGCGGTTGCCTCGTTCCACCTGGCGCCTTTCCCACGGCTGCCTCCTGTGTCCCGCTCCCGGGAGCTCCTCCGGTGCCCCCCGCTTTGGCTGCTGTTCTCTGTGGTTTTTCTCAGTTGGTACCATTTTGTCATTGGGATCCCCGTGCAACCTGGGCTTGGTGGCTTGATGGGTGATGCTGTTGCGTGTGGAGTTTTTCCAGGTGTTTCCACGGTCCTGGCGCCGAGGAAGCACCATTTGCCAGGTGCAGTTAATTGCCTTCTGAGCAGTTCCCCATAGCACTCTGTTGTGGTCGGGGAGGAGGCGAGTGGCTACACATCCATGCTGCTCCATCTCATGCAAGGGTGGCTGCTGCAGGCGCAGGTGGCAGCGGGACACGAGGTTGCTGGAGGGAAGGCAAAGCCTGGATGCATCCTTGCATCTAACTGCCTGCTGATATGCAACAGCAAGCTGCTTGGAAAAGAAGTAAATTGCTTTTTACTGGGTGTGAAACCTGCAGGCATTGCCTGGATCGTGTAGCCCGACGTTGGTGACCAGCAAGCAGCAACGTGCTCCCGAGTGTGGAGCACTCAGAAGCACGTGRGCCGGGGCTGCGCCTGCCAGCGGAGCGCTTGTTTAATAGTGAGTAAGTCAAGGGATGTCAGATGGTTATGAAATCATCTGGCTTCCCAAAATAGTTGTAGTTGGGGTATTGGGCGCTCTCGTCGTGTAAAGCTTGGCTTGTAGCCATGAGAGCAGCCTGTGCCTCGTCTTCCCCGCGGCCGCACGCGACGCTGGAAGGTGTTCGGGAGCACGTAGGCAGAGAGCAAACAAGAAACCGCGGGAGCTCATTGCCTCTTGGACCCTGAGGTTTAAACCTGCAGGAGGATGGGGAGACCTTGTGAAGTGACAGCATCCTCAACACCCAGGAGCAGATYTTGGAAGAAAACTTGCCCAGCTAGCCCCAAAATCTGCCCTGGGCTGTCACAGCAATGCTGGTGCTGCAAGAAGCAGCAAGCTAGGATGAAGGCTACACAGGACCCCATTTCTGGCCGTGGGAGGACCTCAACCCAGCCTAAGTGGCAGTGTGACCAGAGCCACCGATGATCGGGTTTGATCTTTAGGACACAACCAGGGGATCTGCACGTACCAGCCAGGACGCGCTGTCTCCTGGAAATAACATAAATCCTGCCCTTCTGTCCATGCTGGAGGTGCAGAAGGATGCAGTGACCGGTGCATTCATGTTTCCAGGCTCTCTTGCTTCAGAGTTTTCCCCAGGGCAAGAGTTTGGGGGCTCTTCTGCGAGGCTGCCCTGCACGCTGCCCTGTCCTYGCTGCAGTGACTAACGCTGCGGCTGGAGAACAAGCTCCAAGGGCTTTGTAGGCATTAGATTTGCTCCCTTTGGTTTGTGCCTGTTTSGGCAGAGCAACTGTTACGGCATTTAGAGGTCTCCTACGTTTATAGACAGATATTTCTCTCTTCTCTTTGTCCGCTACACCATGGGCATTGTTTTTCTGGAGAAGGGCGTTTATGGTAAGTCCTGTGAAAGAATGCAGCTCCGGCCCCAAACTTGCATAACTTCATGGAAGTATGTGCAGGCTGGCACAGCTCTGCGAGCTAAATAAACCTCGCTGTGCTCAAAAAAATAACCTGATTGACCAATGTAAATAAACTTCAGCTTAGCTTAGACTAGTCATAAATAAAGCTTGGGAGGCTGGAAAGGACCCAGGTTATGGTAAAAGGGAGATTTCCTATGAAAAAAGGATGTGCTGGAAGCAGGTGCTCAGGCTTCCAGGATCTAGCRCAATGTGGGACAAGATGCAAGGAGGGAAAAAAAGATGGGAATCTGCGGATCAGATTGGAATGCCTGGGTGCCTTGTCTCCCTTTGACCTCTTGCACGGCAGCAATGGGATTTCGAAGGGTTGCAGGAGGACTCGCTGGCCAGGCCCAGCACTGGCAGCTGCCTCTCCTTGGCCGGAGGTCAAGGAACGGTGTCTGTCCTCGAGCCAGGGTAGCTCGTTGCCACCGAATGCAATAACTGCAGCCTGGCACAAAATCTGGGAGCCCTATCTCCAAGCACGGAGCCCTATCCCGGTAGCAGGAGCAATATGAGCTTGCTCGGCGGACGGATTACCCTGATACCCGGTAGCAACAGCAGCCTTAGGGGTGCATTTCTCAGCGTGAGTCCTGATGCAAATGCATGCAAGTGCTTTCCTCTTGGCCTCGGGCACGTTTCCAGTGCTACCTGGCTGGGGCTTGCTGGGCTCGTTCGAGGGAATTGTGGTTATTTTTCTCCCCCCTTACTGGAATTCTCTGATCCAGGTTTTCTTTGGTGCCAGCGAGGCTGGAGTCCTGTCCAGGCACTGTTTTCAGTGCTGTTTCTGTGGCACGCACTCGTCTTCAAGCCTATTTCTGGGAAGTGTCCAGCTGACTTCTGCAGATTCCAAAGAATGAGGCGTTTCAAGCGCTTTAAAATATAGCTCCTCCGTCAGGTGCATCTGATCTGGCGAGGCTGCTTTGCGGAGCTGAGCTTTATTTTAGCAAACTGGCAAAAACCCTGAATTTAAACGAGCTCGCTGGAAGCAAAATTTTGCATCCTCCAAAAGCCACGCGCAGTCAGATCGGTGCAAAAACGGATGCATTTGGCCACTTGCTTCCTTAGAGCGCCCGGCGTAACTCCAAGCTCATTTTAGTAACATTTTTCCCCAATTTTGCACCGCGGGGAGGACAGGAGGCAACGTATGGGAATTGCCGCGCTGAGCATTAGATGAATTATCAGAGGCAATAATGACTTTATGTGGTTATCCTAGATGGACACGATTGCATTRCGGTGGGCCTGGGAGGAACCAATTGGAATGGTCATTTCAATTGCTGCTTTGGCCAAGGGGAATTGGGGCATGCTGGAAAGGTGCCTGTGATACCCACTGGCTCTTGTGCACGATCCTTTTTGCTCCTGTGCTTCCCTGCTGGTCCTGGAAGGCYGAGGACCCCTTGATTTAATTTGTTGAAGTGTTCTCATTCCCTGCAGAAAAGGGAACCAAAGTGCAAAAACCTTCACCCTGAGAGCTGCTGGTGCCATTAGCGCTGACATTTTTTAATATGCTCAGAGACAAACTAGGTCTCCCTCACATACGCCTGCTTTTATAGAGACAGCAGGTCTGTTTTAGCTAAAAATCAGCCTGAAGTTGATACTCAACGTAGGAAACTTCACCAAAAGTAGCTAAACTTCTGGTTTAGCTATTTAACTGAAAACTGCTCTTTCTGTGATGTGTTTCCAGTGCTATTGCTGGATTGCAGTGATGCAAARCAGGATCCCAAGTCCTCCCTCTTCCTCCCTCGTTGTCCTCAGAGGCTTCCAATTGCAGTTTTGCATTTTCTTCTGAGCATATCTATTAACTTCTCCTTAAAATCGCGGGGTGGGAGTTGCTCATTGAAATGTCTGGGGACTGCCCGGTCCCCTAGACACAAAGAGCATTTCTCTGTGGAAACGAGTGGAAAACCTCTAGCGAGAAGCAGGAAAACCAAAGCAAGGGCCCCGAAGCTGGCAGAGGGCTCGCAGGGGAGCGCGGGAGGTGACGTGTGCGGGAACCTGCCGCCTCCCGCTGCTCCTCGCMGGTCCCTCCTGTGATTCCAGGCTCTTTCTCAAGTTAAGCCACTTGTGGTTGTGTTTTGAGCAAGGGCGCCTAAAAATACCCCCCTTTTTTTTTTGTGGTGTGAATGCATCCGTCTTTGGCTCCCAGCGATTTGATCTCCTGCAATCAAGGAGGTTCCTGCTCCAAGGATGCCTCCCCAGAGGCTGCCTGCTGTGTTCCCGAGCGAGCATGCTATCTGCTGCCTTTATCAGCAAATAGTCGGCATTTTTTTTTCCAGACCTGCATAAAAATAAGCCTCCTTGTGCTCTCCCTGTGGGGGGGTGGTTTATTAGAGCAGCTCTGTCTCTGCGAGTTTTGCCATCTAGTGTTGCTTCCCTTGGGGAGCCACCGATCCCATGGGTTTTGTCCCTTTAATCTGGGCTGTACTGTGGTTTTAGGTGGCGTTTTTGGCCGTGTGCTGTGTAGGGCAGAGCTGAAGCTTCTCTTCGGAGTTTTGCAGCCAACCCAGTTGCCTTTATGAGCTGCATTTTTCATTTGGTTAAGAGGGATTCTTCGGGATCTTGTTTTGCATAGGATTCTTGCTGTGGCTCCTTATACTGCAGTCCTTCTGGTCAATATTTAGTCTTGTAGCAACTGTTTTCTAACTCAGCCTAACATCTCAAAAATTTAATTAGCTCAGACTTTTCTTTAGGGTTTAAGTTTTTAATTCTTCCTAAAACTCCATAGGGAGCGCTGTTCAGGCTCAGTGGTTTTAAAGTGTGAAATCGAGTCAGTGTTTTTAATCCCTGTGTTAATTATTGCTGAAGTAGCATGAAACAAATGTGCAGTGCGAATAATTACCTGTGTTTTTTTTTGTTATTTTCCACTTGCAGAACAAAAGCATTGTGAAACGGTCTTAGCATGCAATAAGACCCGCAGCGCCGGCCGGTTTCTGACACATGAAGTGTTTCCTGCTGTTGCTGCCTTGCTCTTTATTAATTATTGGAATTTCATAATCGCTGATTTAGGTGCCGGGTTAAGCTCTGCTGCTTGCAGATGAGCGCAAGCCCGTATAGGAAGAAAGCCCCTAATTCCTCCTGTGAGTTTGTGCTGGTCCCTCCCCGGGAATTGATCCCGGCWCTTGCCGGGAGGGAGGATGGGGGCGGCCGTGCCCAAATCCGTGCCTTTCTGGGCTGGTGCTGGCTGAACTCTGGCTGCTCCCGRCGGAGCTGTCAGCGCCCATCGCGCCCCTTTGCAGGGCCCCGCTTGCTTGCGGGAGTCAGGAAGGGAGCTGCCAGGCCCAGCTTTCCTTCGGGAAAGGAAAAGCAAGTCTTTGGTCTCCTGTAACGGAGGGAGAGGCAGGGAAATGACTCCAAAGCACTTAGCGAGCAGTAATGCGTTGCTTCCTTGCTCTTGGAATATCAAACCTTGAAAACCAGTGATGTTTTTGGAAAGCTTGGGGTTACTGAGATGTGTGTAGTCGTGGTCTCTGCAGGTCCCCAYGGTCGCAGGCTTCCCTTCCTTTTACTTAGCAGTGGTCCAGCCTGTCAAAATGCACAGTGCACCTAAGCAAGGGGTCAATCTACAGCCCTAAGTGATGGACACGCCATGGGCTCCAGCGTTGGAGTGAGGATCGTGTCATTCTGCAGCCCGTGCGGGCTCGTGGCCGATGTCCATGGGGCTCTGGACCTGTGCCACCCACGCGAGCTCCTGGCTTATCTGGTGGCAGGGCCTGGCCTGGCCGCTTGCCTGCTCCGGGGGTCCTTATCTCGTGTATGGAAGTGTTTGCCATGCTTTGAAATGTAAACATCTCCTCCCAGGCTTGGTTCCTGTGCTGTGYGTTGGATGCTTTGTGCTGTGGAAGCTCCACCTTGTTTTTTTGACATTTTTCATCCGCATCAGTCTCCACGTGACGCTCCAGATGCGTGGCTTGCGAAGGGACCTGTTTTCCACATGCCCCCAAAGAGGGACTCATCGCTCTCCTGGCCAGCGCGGTCACGGCGTGTGGCCAATGGAGAGGACAACTTGCACGAAGAGGTGCAGTCCCCAACACTGCTCCGTGTGGGGAGGAACCTGCGTGGTGCTRAAGGGAGGAATGGCAAGGCGGTTGTTTGCTTTAACGAGCTGCTGCGTGGGCTGCGTGGGGCTGCAGGAGATTGCTGGGTGCCCTCCCACCCAGGGCGCTGGGGCACCCACCGTGGGAGGGAGGAACACTCGRGTCTTGGGTCTCCTCTACATTTCTGGTTTGAAGAGTTTCCTTTAGGCTTGGGCCTAAAGAAACCCTTACAAGGGTTTCTTTTAAGGGAGATAAATCATCGTGTAAATAGGAGTCTGCAAATGGGCCTCGAGGCGCAGCCGTTGGGTAAGGGAGCTTTAGCTGCTGGGCCTTTTGGTAATGGATGTAGTTGGTATCAGCTGGGGTTCTTCYGGAGCTTCATGAGGAATTAGTGTCCCTGGGGTGAGGAGATGGCAGGAGGTGACGTGCACACGCGTCCYGCTCCATGATGTGGAAATGGCCAAAGGAGCCACCGGGAGGGGAAGGGAGGCTGCTGTGTGATGGGAAATGGCAAGCGGCAGAYGGGATTTATCATGGAACATTGGATGTTATTGGAAGAAATGCCTAATGATAAGCGGGTTTGTTGTGATCCGGGGGTGATTTCAGAGCCGCGGTCCTCACCCTGTTCTGCTGCTCTCACAACACGGATATTTTTAGGTTGATGCCCATTTATACCCGTCAGTACGCGCCGCCGTCAGAGTCACTTACCAAAATTAAACCTGAAGTTGGATGGGAATACAGACACTGACCTTGTCAGTGCAAACCAAAATCATATCCTGCTCCAGACAAACACACCTACCTTGGACAGGGCTGCCTTTTTCCACATGTGAACCCTGGAAGTGTCTTGAGAAGTGCTGCTAAACCAAGGAATCGGCACCCGACCCTCCGAACTACTGCTGCTTTCCTCGGTGCCCAGGGCAGAGCTCGTGCAGACAGATCTGCCGTGCTGGGAAGCCTGAGCCGGATCCGCTCCCGGAGGCATGGAGAGGGATGCAGCCCTTGGTGCCTCCGGGCAGCCCGCGCTCCCGGGGCTCCTTCCCTGCGGAGCCGCCTGCGGCTCCCCCCGGCACCGCATCGTTTTCCCCTAACCCATTTTTTATTTATTTCTCACRCTGCCTCACAGCCAGCGCAGCAGGAGCTGCTTTTCCCTGCAAACCGAATCTAACTCAATTCTAGGGCAGTTTTCTGAACTTTCCTTTTTTTTTTTTTTCCCCCTTCTGTGCTGAGAGGAAAAGGAGAGTATGGGATGGAGTATCTGGATTGAGGGGCCATTAAAAAATAACGAGCTGATTGGTATTCCGCCAGCACAGGCTGTCCGTGCGGCGTTCCCGGCGTTTCATCCCTTCCTAAGGGAGGATGCTGGCGAGCAGGACTGAGCCTGTACCTGCCGCAGTTCAGAGGGGTTAGAGGAAAATCAGGGCATCTTTATTCAGATCCATCTCTTTTGGGCGCTTGTGAGCGCGGGGGCATGGTGAATGAGAAGACGCCAGCTCTCCTCTTTAAATACCAGCCTCGCTGACACGTTTAGTTAAGGGAAAAATCTTGTCATCCATTAAAAGAGTGTAGGAACCCAGGGGCAGGAAAGGAAAACATGTTTCCAAGCACTTGCGGGATTTTCCCGCTTTTTSCACAGTTCCCTTTGCACTCAATCTGATGCTTCATTTTTCTGCAAAGCARCGAGGTTTCTCCCCATTAAGCAGCATATGTTGCTCTGTTCTCCAGGCAGGGCAGTTTTACTGCTCCACTGGTAGGAAGGGGCTGCACGATGGTGCCTATACCAGCTGGCATTATTTTGCAGTCGGAGACCATGTCTTTAAAGATATTTGACCAGTTTCCCATAAACCTGGAGCCAGTGGTAAGGCTCAGATGGAATGGGTATTTTCTAATTGATAAGAGGAGTGTGTTTATTCTGCAGGCTGTCTGATATCCAGGGATAGTCTTTTCCATGCAGCTCTGAAATCATTTCTTGCAATTATTCACCTCGTGGGACAAAACATTGGCCTTTCCCAAGGGAAGGGCTCAGCTCTGCCCTCCCAACGTGTTTTAGGCTGTCCCTTCTCCTCCCATGAGCCGATCTGCACCTCGGCGCGGTGAGCATCCCACAGACCAGAGCGCAGCTCTGCTGAATTGCCATTTCATCGAATTCCCTTCCTCGCTGGTCTGTTATTAAATTATGGTTAGTGTTTCATTAGCGAGTCCCTGTGGGCATGAGTTCATTAGTGTTTTATTGGTTCGGGCTGCGCMTCGTTGCATTGGGAACGTATCGCAGAGAGCCCCCATGCTCGCTGCAGCGCCCGCGCTAACGAGCCGTGGTCCGGGATCCGGGGCTGAGATTTGCCTCTTTTGCTCCCCTCGGTTCAGCCCTGGGCCCTCAATGGACTTGGGCTGTGTGCAGCAGAGCCCTTGCCCCAGGGCTCATTCCTCTGCAGGCAACGGGAGCGACACGAGCCCAGGCCATGCAGGATGTGCTGCCCATGACACTGCACAGGACTCTCCGAGGAGCCCCACGTTGGTCCTGTCCCAGCGACACGGGTGTCGTGTTGACACCTTTGCTGGAGGCCCTGGCCAGGCTGCGCTCCTCCTCTGGGCTATTACTGCACCGTGGCCTGGCTAAAAATAGTTTCCCAAAGCCTGGGAGATTTTTCAGGTTTGCAATCTGTTCTAAACCCAAATTAATTGGCTCTTGGGCTAGCGCAGAATAGAAAACTGCTAGCTGCAGCAGCTGGAGAATGAGAGCTGGTGTTTAGTACCGATGGGCAAGAGGAGCGATCGCGATCGCTGGGGATGCAGTGTCCTAACGGGAGCAACGCGGGGCCGGGGACCTGGCACCGTGTCCCAGCCTGCAGCCCTCTCTGTGGGCGGGAGAGGAGCAGTGAGCTCGGCTTGGAACGGGTTTGGATAATCACTGCAGAGTGATTGAGCTCTCCGTTTTGGAGCTGAATCCGGACACTTCTGTAGCACGGTGTTTAGGTGCCTCGGCGTGACCCCCGTGTCAGTGCGCTCGGTTAGCGGGGTGCAGACACGGGGGCCCTCGAGCAYGGTGCTCCCAGCAGAGAAGGGGGATGCGGGAGGCCACTCCGGCCTCCATGGGGCGCTTGGGGCTGGGCTCTTTTCTGAGTCCCCTCCCATCGGCGGCTTCAAAAGCRCTTTGAGGAATTGTTTTTTGGGGCTTTTCATGTTAAATTACAGGTCRGGGCCAGCAGCTTTTCCCGCCCGTCGCCCTGGCTGCCAGAGCTAATACGTGAGGCCAGGCCGCGCGTGTCACATGGAGGCCCGTCACGGGAGCGGGGCCGGGGCTCCCTTTGCCGCAGGGCTGCTTAAGTCCCAAGAGGATTAATCGGATTCCTCTGCTGTGGGAGCTGGCGGGGCGGCCGGCRCCGGCTCTTCCTTCACCGCGGCTCCCCATGCTCCAAGCCAGCCAATTCCCCCCTGTTCCTGCAGCGCAGAAGTGGCGGGGCTTAGGAGAACCGTGTTCGCTTCCCAAGGGCAGACCAGAGCATTGGGTTTATTCACTGATCCTGTTTCGTTTCTGTCCAGTGTGTTTTCATTGAAGCGCTCGCTATCTCTACACTGTCCCCGCCAGAGCTGTGCGCCACATCCTTGGTGTGGTGTGGACACCTTCGCTTCCAGCCCTCTCCGGGGCTTTTCCCACCCATGGGGATTAACCCAGCCTTCCCCTGCTCCTCTCCCCAGTACGAGTTTAAAGCCAAGAACATCAAGAAGAAGAAAGTGAGCCTCATCRTCTCGGTGGACGGCGTGAAGGTCATCCTGAAGAAGAAGAAGAAGGTAGGCGGCTCGGCCGGCGCGGTGCCGTCCCTCTGCGTGGCGGGGACGGGCGCTGGCTGGAGCCTCCTGCTCGTCCCTGCCGTGGGGTGCATCAGTGTGGGAGGTGTGCGCGGCCCCGGGGTCCTGGAGCGCTTGGCCCGTGCCGGGGCGGCTGTGGGAGAGCCCCAGGGGCTCCCCGGGTCCCTGCTCGGCCCCTTTCCGTGCCGTCCTCGAGCCCAAGGGCAGCATCTGACGCACTCATTTTCAGCTTCTTTCGTTGCAGAAAAAAGAGTGGGCCTGGGATGAGAACAAGATGCTCGTCATGCACGACCCTATCTATAGGTGAGGCTGCCTCGCAGCGATTCCTCCCCATCAGCTGCCTCCTTTCCCCGGAATCCCGCTGGCCTGGGCATTCGGGGGCCGCCGAGCCCTTCCCGGAGATCCCGGTTGGAGCAGCAAGSCTGTTCCGCTGCCGGAGATCGGGGGAGCTGTGGCAGGGGCCATCCCTGCCCTGGGATGGCTCAGGGCTGCCCCCCGCTGCCCTGGGCGGGCTGAGCAGCGCTGGCCTGCRCTGCCTTGGGGAAACGCCTGCTGAACGGGCAGAATATCTGTTAAAACCTGGTGAAAGTGCTGCCAAAAAATCTCCGCTGGGCTCGAGCAGCAGCAGCAGCAGCAGCCTGCTGCAGAGGCTGGGCCCCGGCCAGCAGCGCCGAGCGTGCCCCGGGAGGCATCGCCTGCACTCTCGCACGTGGGGCTGCAGGCCACCTTCCCCCCGTCCCACCTCTCCCTGCAGGATATTCTATGTGTCCCACGACTCCCAGGATCTAAAGATCTTCAGCTACATCGCCAGAGATGGGTCTAGCAATGTGTTCAGGTGTAACGTCTTCAAGTCCAAGAAGAAGGTAAAGCCTTGGGGACGCCCGTGTTGTGCGCAGGGCTGTAGTTTCCCCTTGGGCCACTGCTCCCAGCACGGGCACTCGCTCCCCAGCATCTCACCATCCTCCCCCTTCTCCATTGCCTGCTCGTTGGTCTGGGGCAGCTTTTCCCCCGGGCAGCCGATTGCATCCGAGCTGATTTAGGGCTGCGTCCCGCTGGGCGGGCAGCCCAGGGGGTGACGCTCGGTGTCCCCGCCGCAGAGCCAAGCCATGCGCATCGTCCGCACCGTGGGGCAGGCGTTCGAGGTCTGCCACAAGCTGAGCCTCCAGCACACGCAGCAGAACGCGGACGGGCAGGAGGACGGCGACAGCGAGCGCAACGGGGACGAGCTGGACGTCCCAGGTAGCGCGGCGGGCTGCGCGGAGCCGCCGTCCCTGCGAGACGCTGCTGACGGCGATGTGCACGTGGGGCTCTCACGCAGCGGGGAGTCTCCGCTGTGCGTTAGTCTCCGTCCTCGCAGCCGTGCCCCTTGCTGGGAGCCCATTAGCAGCAATCGCGGCGCTGCGGGATGCGCGGCAGCGTTTTGYGCCGTGGGAAGGGACTGAGCGCTCGGTCCCGCCTTGGTGTCGCACCCAGGGGTTCGCACCTCGAGCGCCGGCCGCAGGGCTCTGCTAGCGCTGGGTTTTGCTCTGACGGTCCCTTGCCCTGCAGGCTGCCGCCTCGGCAGCGCCGACAAGGCGGCCGCCTCCGCGGAGGAGACGGACATCGACGCCGTGGAGCTCCCGCTGGCGGGGAGCGACGTGCTCGAGTTCAGCCGGGGCGTGACGGACCTGGACGCCGTGGGGCGGGAGGCGAGCGCCTACGGGGACGCCAAGGTAGGGCCTTGCCGCGGCTCTGCCCGCACTGCTCGCCAGCGTTGTCCCCTGGAAATTTCCATGGGAACTTCTGCCTCTGCTGAGATTTGCTGCAAAATCACCCGAGCTTTAGCCAGCAACGCACAGAAAGGCCGGGGAGGGAGGCGGGGGTCGGCAAGCCCATTGCCCTGCTGGAGCGTAATCGTTCCTGGCAGATGCTGCTGTGGAGGCTGGTGACACGGGCGCCGTCCTTCCCGCGGCAGCTGCTGTCCCCTGTGCCGCGYGAGCAGATTTTCCTGGGCTCCAACCTAATTCCCCTTGGCCGAGGGATAAGCTGCTCCGCTGCCGGGGGCTTGGTCCTTGCCGCACCTTAGCTAGCTGGTTTGGGGTTCTCGTTGCAGGGCTGCCTGCACCCCGAGAGCATCCTGACGGCGTCGCCCAAGATGCTGCTGCCCTCGTCCGCGCAGCTGCCCGACGTGGGCACGCCGCTCTCGGCGCACCACCAGATGCAGCTCCTGCAGCAGCTCCTGCAGCAGCAGCAGCAGCAGACGCAAGTGGCTGTGGCGCAGGTTGTCCCCGCGCCGCRTCCCGAGGCGCGGGCGGGCCGGGGAGAAGCCGCCGGGACAGGGGAGGGGAAGGGACCGGGCAAAACAAAAGATTCTCTTGCTTGGGCAGAGCTTGTAAAGACAGTCCCTGCCCCAGCTTTTGGGACCTGCCTTTGCATCCTAGGTAGCCACCGTGTTTGTGTCCCCTGCAGATCTCTCCAGCCCCTTGCTTCCCRCTTCCAGGTAGAACCTGTGAAGTGGGTAAGGCTGTTTGGTGTCCGAGGGTTGGTACAACAGCCGCTGGCCTCGTTCCCCTTCCTGCAGCGACTGACACCTCCCCTGGACCTTTGCCCACACTGGGATGGTTCCGGTGCCGAGTGCTGTTACTTAGCATCTCCCCAGCCCATTCAGTGTGCGCCACGGCGCTCTTGTACCCCTCTAATTTATTAGTGAAAAAGTTGTTCTCTRTGATGTCAAATGCCTTTGAGATGACTGAATACATTACATCAACACCTTCCTCAATAGCGCTCGTTATCTCCTCTGCAAAGCACTGAGTCAGTTTGTCTCTGAACACACGATGATTGGCACGGGCTTTATTCGCTGCTGACAAAGCCCGTAGATCCACTGTGTGGTCCCAGACCTCGCTCAGACCGATGGGTCTGTAGCTTACCTCGGAATTACTTGGCTGGGAATTAAATGTCAGGGAGCTTCCTCTCGTGGACCAGGAGCTGCAGGGCGCTTCCCAACACCTGTGTGGGGCTGGATTGGAAGGGCAGGCGCCGGGTCCTGTCCTGGTGGGACTCAGGGCGCTCTCCTCTCCCGCAGGTTCACTTGCTGAAGGACCAGCTGGCGGCCGAGGCCGCGGCGCGCCTGGAGGCGCAGGCCCGCGTGCACCAGCTCCTGCTGCAGAACAAGGACCTGCTGCAGCACATCTCGCTCCTGGTGAAGCAGGTGCAGGAGCTGGAGCTGAAGCTCACGGGCAACAGCACCAGTAAGAGCTCGCTGCCCCTGCGCCCCGCGGGCGGCCGGCGCCGGCGGCCGCCCCTCAGCCGTGCCCTTCTCTTGCAGCGGGCTCCCAGGACAGCCTGCTGGAGATCACCTTCCGCTCGCACGCGCTGCCCGTGCTCTGCGACCCCACCACGCCGCAGCCCGAGGACACCCCCGCGCCGCCGCTGGGCCCGCCCGCCGGCTTCCCCGGCGCCCTGGGCAGCCCCATAGGTAGGCAGGACTGCCTGGTGAAGCTGGAGTGCTACCGCTTCGTGCCGGGCTCGCCGCCGCGCGCCCCGGAGCCGCTCCTGGGCAGCCTGGAGCTCATCAAGTTCCGCGAGTCGGGCATCGCCTCCGAGTACGAGTCCAACACGGACGAGAGCGAGGAGCGGGACGCGTGGTCCCCCGAGGCGCCGCCGCGCCTGCTCAACGTGCGGCCCAGGCAGGACCTGGGCGACAGCCTGGAGGACGAGATCGCCGTGTAGGCGACGGCGCCGCGGAGCATGGGGAGCCCGGCGGGGCCCCCGGCTTTAGGGAGGCAGGGATGCGCCCGGCGCTCGCAGCGGTCCCTGCGCTTGGCTGCACGTCCCTGCTGCGAGCCGCGCGGTGCTGAGCTCAGCCGGGTCTCAGCAGCTTTGGGGGGCCCAGGCTGCAGGGCGAGCGGAGCGGAGGCGGCTCGCAGGGCTTGCACAGCCGGGCACGTGCAAGGGGTATCGGCCACGTGTGCGGAGCGGGCACTGCCGCTGCGGGCCTGCCCCGAGGAGCCGCTCGCCGTCCCCAAGCCCTGTTTTGAGTAGGGCACCAGCCCTAAGCACAGCCCCTTGGCGGGGCCAGCTCCCTTCCTCCTGCCCCTCGGCACTGGGAATGCACCCCTGGCTCGAGCAGGGCTGCAGCTATGGAGCCGTTGGGTGGCCAGGGCTGCCTGGCGTCTGCAGTGGGGGCTGCCGCGGTCCAGAGGGCACCGGTCCTTGAGGAGGGGCTCCACATGCCCTGCAGCCGGTGCTGAGGCTGCAGGCGGCTCCTGCGAKCCCCGGGCTTGCCGCAGCTGCACCCTGCGGGGCTCGGCATCGTGGAGCTGATGCAATGGGAGCACGGGGCAGGAAGCGGCTCCCGGGCACGTGGGAGCAGCCTGGCCAGGCCAAGCACCCCTTTGCATCCCCCAGCAATGCTCCCTTGTCCCGCATGGCCCTGGAGCGCTCGCAGCRCAGGCGGGCGGTGCGGACCTTGTGCTCTCCCTCCACGCTCCTCTCCTGCTTCTGCTTCACTTGGCTGCTCTCCTGCTCTCGCCTCGCCAGCTCTGTCTGCCTCCCACTCGCCCCACGCACCTGGCCCCGTGTCCCGCTGCAGCGCTTAGTGCTGGAAGCGGGAGCAGGATGGGAGCAGAGCCCCCGTGAGCCGGGGCCGCGGGCACAGGGACACAGGCACCACGTTCCTGCCGCCCGCGCGCTGCTTCCCGACGCCGCTCTGGCCTCCCGCTTTTGTTACGGACCTCGACCGGGGATTTATAGCTCTATTTTTCGTCCTTTCTTTTCCTACAACTGTCGTGTTACTAACCGCCGACTCGATCTGCCTGGGAAACCAGTCTGTCCATGTAAGTGCACTTAACCCCTGGGTGTTGTCGTTAGGTGACTGGCTTTTGCTAAATAAATCTTTCTATTTCTCAAGGCTTCTTTCCCCCCTTCTCTGGTCTCTTCCTTCTCGCTGCCTCTCGCTCTTTCCGCACCGCTTCCCCCCGGCTCCGTCCTCGGGGCTGGCGGCAGCTCCCGCCACCACCACGGAGGCTCCGCAGGAAGGGCAGCCGAGGGCCGCAGAATAACGTCATTTATTGGGGCGGCGGC